ATCACGGCGTATCAGTTTTAAGCGGGAGGAAAACCCGAAGTGATGCAGGTTTTGAACTTCTTTCCCCTTATTGACATTAAAGTCCGTAAGATGAGTCCAATGGCTCTTTGAAAACATCTTTTGAAAATATGATTAAAGGAGTAACAAAGATTATTCTACATTTCAACATCTTAGACATTTAACATAAAACACGTATCGCATGTGATCAATACGCCAGATTTCAGAAATTAAACTTTCTGCAGCAGTTTGACAGACCATGGGCCACCTATACACCCACACACAGATAGAGTTTATTACATGCAACTCCATTTAAAGTTGCATTTGTAATGTTGTAAAGTGCTGGATACTTCATCGCCCCACTGTAGAATCGTATCATATAGAACGTGCGCTGTTTGTGTAGAGCCTAACACCATAGTGTTAGAAGCGCTAATTTCCCAGCCGGGTCCATATGGACGCTTCATTTCCACAGACCACATGTGTCGGCCCACCAAACTCTTGTTACACAGACAAGATGCACAGAATTAATTTTTCTCTCCTTCCCATCCGTGTAGGCTGATTCACTGTAATGGGATGGACGGCCAGGGCAGGCCAGATCGAACGCTGCGGTGCCACTTCCAATATAACATGTTCCTTGTTAGACGCCCAGCGCGTTGACTTTGGCGCTTTATTTTCATTTCTTTATTGGTTTGCAGTTCTAATTAAATGGAAATTCTGCGGAATTGTCATTCTAATCCCTAAATATTGTGTAGAAACTACTGGATCTAAAATCAAATTGTCAAAATCGTTCGTGAATAAGATTTCGTTGACGATGATAAGGATTTAAGAGTAAACGTGACGCTTTACACTTCCCATCTGTGTAAAACAGATCGGTTAAACATTTATAAACTATTGTCTTACAATTTGTATGAAAGATATTCCTTCACTAGTCCTCGTCTATACCCCAAACTGACCTGAAACTGTTGCTTTCATTTGGAGCGTTAACGAAAATATGCAAAACATAACGAGTTCAAACGTGGTCAATCGAGGCACATACTTTCCGTCAGAAATATCATTCATTTTGGCGTAAATGAAAAATAAAAGCTTTTGAGGGACAGTGTGGAGGTTCTTTCTGCCATTCTTGTGCCTTGATAGACTTATAATGACCCGTGGTGTCTCAGATTTCAACGCGGGTGGAAGGAAGGAGACAATGCGTTTACCAGCTACTGACCATTGCATGGCTCCACAACATACAGCACAGGGGAAGAAACGATTTGCTTTTTAACCTTTTTTCTGAAGTTTACAGTCCATGCATGTTGGATGTGTACAAAAGATTATCACTTGATCTGAAACATTTGTTTTAGCGCTTGTTTGCCTACATGTTATCCATTTACAAGCAATTTTAAACGAAAAAAAACTGAATTGCATTCGACGGTTGGGTTAATGTTTACATCAGAATGTTCTCGCTCCGAGTGTTACGGCTGATGGAGAAACAGCCACACACTCATACAGAGGTTGGAGCGCAGGGTGTGTGGGGTTGGGGTTGGGGGGGGGGGGGGGGTGTTTGTATTGTGTGCATTTATTTGACTACCAGATTTGTAATAATTCGTGTCTCTGTTCACAAAAGGAAACAGATATAAGTTACTGAACCGTTTCTTCCGAACCATGTAGTAAAGGGAGTTTTTCCTTATTATGTTTCACAGGATTAATTTCCATGTCACGATGGCACATATTCCTTGTAATTCAATTCACCGTCAAACAGTAAAATAATTTAGTTTTCACTGAGTGTGAAACCGTCACTGCTACTGTTACTGTTGCAATGTTCCGTTTCCTTAAACACGTGCGTGTAACGATATGCGTAAGCCATATCCATGATCAATAACACCGAACACTTCACAGAGAAATATGTGTGAACGAATTATCCCATCCAAACGATACAATGAATTGAGATATAAGTGTGAACGAATTATCCCATCCAAGCAATACGTTTCCACGCGAAATCATCAATATAAGCAAAGGCATTTTAGATATAGTGTTTCATAAAAAACATTGTTCTTCTAGTATAATATAAATGATAATCGATTTAAGAAATTTCAAGAATAATGAAATGCGTTAAATGCCGTGAAACGTCCAGTCTCACTGGGTGGGATGTTTTGAGTGGTAGGGGTAGGGGTAACGGGAGGGGGGTGGGAATAAAGGGAGGGTGGGGGTTGATCAAGAAAATGTGGCCCAATTTACAATATGGTATTGCAAGAAAGTAAGCAATGATTCCTAGGTGGTACTAACTAGGTGCGGTCGATGAGAGCGGCGTGAGTCCCGGGGGTGTTGTAGATGTGGGCACTGAGGGACAGGGAGATAGGCAGCGTCCCCCGGGGATTGTCTGACATGTTTCTAACACCCTAAATCTCCTCGCCTACTGAAGTAATTATCGATATTACGTCAACATGACCCCCTACAAGGACTGTAAACTGACCCTTATGGTTAGAAGAACTATAAACTCGGACTCATAGCAACCCTCTTGGAGCATTTATTTGCAGAAGATGGAGACAGTATACTAAAATTTGAATTTAATGAAATTTAAATTCAATAAACAAAAATATGGTTAATGACATGTGTTGTAAACATGTTTGACATTAGCACGTTTAACAATAAAACTAGATAGCCTTTTCACTAATGATGTGTTTTTATCAAAGAAATAATTCAGAATAAAGGCGAAATGTTACGTACAAATGCATGTATGTAAAATCATGATGACAAATGAGCATGATATGCATGTTATACTTATCTAACATAAACACATTGTTGTCAAGTCATGCGGACATACGTACCCGGTCACGCTTTGCATGCGATATATTTCTGACAAACAAGCATCCAATCGGTTAAGTAAAAAGTTGAATGAAAGTTACCCTACAAATTAAATTATACATTTCAAAAATGGACAGCAAATCAAAATAAAAACATCTTCATATTCTTACTTTTTTTAAAATTACAAGTGTATCTTAAAAAACAGAATTTAAAACAGCTACCTCAATTGCATCCACCAATACACTGGCTGCTCTCAAGCAGACGAACTGTCATGGCGGCATGGCGGTGCGGGGAAGAAAGTCTATTTTCCTACCTAATCTCCATAAGACGGCTTGGGGAATTCCGTTGATGAAAACGTACTTATAACTACATATCATTTTCTAACGGAGCACATTTTTTGCATTTATGATCAATAAGAGACAGTTATACAAATTGAGAAAATACACCGGCACATGACGTAAGTCCTAGCCTGATTCCACTAAACATTGACTATTGTTTCAGAAAACAGAGGCGGGGGAACCTAAATTCAAATGATTGCTAGATACTTACTGAGTGTATGTAAGTCAGGCCTGAGCGCTGGGAGCCATTCTAAAGGCACGGCTCATCCTGACTGCGTTTTATTCCCTCCCAGAAACACACTGTGGTCAAGCAACCAATTCTTATTATGTTCCTTTGTATTTGAAAAATTGCCACGAAATGGTCTAAAACGTTTTATTGATATCCCAATTATTTTCGTTCTATACAAGGTTATATTATGCTGGGTCCTTGTCACTGTGCCGGCGTTCGTCGGCGAGGGCCATTTGTGTGTCACGTGTCACAGGTAAAGACAGGTAAAGAAATGTACAATTATCTCAAATAAAAAAAATATGAAATCAGTCGGTCCTTCACCTGCTAGCAACCTTCAAAACGTGAAGACCGTTTTGATCAATTTGTAAGTGTCCTTCACCGGGTAAGACAAATATACTAGCCCTCCGCCTCGGGCTAACTTTGTTGACAAAGGACACATTGATTGCTTCAAAGCAATGTAATTTTCTCGCCAAATCGGCACAAGGGCTCGCATCACAAGCCCTATAGGACTATTATACGAAAACTTGAGGAATAAAACCTTAAAATTTGCTCCATCTGTTCAAGAGAAGTGAAAAAATCGCTCAAGGGGCGCTACTGTCGTTTTCAGGTTTAACATGAATTCTTTCAGTTGTCGAGATCTCAAACCTTGCTTATTATGAGAATTCGCACGTGGGGATATCCTGTTCGTGATTTGGAAATTAAATTCGATAGAAAGTGGAAATGATAGTGAAGAATAGGACCGCGAACAAATATAAAAAAATATAAAGGTAAACACACTATCTGTGATATAAATTTGATATGTGCAAGAAATAATAGATTCGGATTTTAGACTTCTTTTTTTGTTGTTGATAAAAATCTTAATAAAAAACAGAGGAAAAGAAAACCTGCAAAATATTCACCGCTAAGCATTGCGGGAACATTTCTAGGAGTCGCATTTGGGAAATTTTTATACGGGGCAAATGCGAAAGTAATTCAAGCTTATTCCCCGGTCTAATAATACTAACCATCTGTGAGCCAAGCCCCGTTAGGGAACAATGCACGACGGAGGCATTCTACTCTTTGGGAATTAAAAGCCGGGGGACACATAGCGAAGGCTCTTGTTTCAGCCCGACTCTCAAACCTTGAAAACTTGGTGTTGAAAGGAGGGCGGGAACGAAAAAGTAAGGGACAAACAGTATAACTATGACGAAATATTGTGATGATGTTAGGAACTCTGTGGCGCACAGTTTCTGACGTGTGGCTATCTTCTATTGAGTGTGGTAGGGGGTTGGGGAAATATCATTCTCCATTCACTATAATCGTTTTATATACAAATCATCTCAAGTGCTCTCTTGAAGGCCCATCTGAAATAAAAACATTTGGTAGGGTCAGAGAGAGGTTTATACACAGACGCAGCAACCGAGACGGTTTGTACAGAAACTGTGCTTCCCTCTCCCTTCTCTGCTGTCACTCGGCTTGTTGAAATCAGCAATTAATTTCCATGCTCATCAGGCCGTGTTATGACATGCCGTCTTGATTGCGCCCGGCCCGGTGTGTGGCCACTTTCTCGCTCAGCAGCTGATCCACGCGGCCTGATTGGTCGGGGGCGGAGCAAGGGGCGGAGCTTGGAGCCATATATGGCGCGGCTGGCAGATATCATACACAGACTTGTATATGTTGTCGAATGGTGCAGACCAGAAGCTTCAGTCTCAGCACAACTCATAGTAACCGCTAAACGTACACTACTCGACGGTGCTACAAGAATACTGCACTGTGGCTGTGTGTATATTTCCTAGTTTACCGCTGGAGCGGGGGGAGATGCAACCGAGCGGCCTACAAGCGCCCTACCCTGCCTCCGCCATGCCGAGTATATCAAACGGGCCAGGATTAGGCATGGTACCCACCCTGTTCGGCGACCACCAGAACTATTACCGTCATGCTGGAGGATATACCGGCATGTCCATGGGTGGAATGTCAATGTACGGCCATGATCAGTATTCGGCGGTGTCGAGACCGTCGCCGTATTCCCCCTACACGCCCCAGCACCACACATCCAAGGACATGGTGAAGCCCCCGTACTCCTACATCGCTCTCATTGCGATGGCCATCCAGAGCCAGCCGGACAAGAAGATCACGTTAAATGGGATATATCAGTTTATCATGGACCGTTTTCCCTTTTACAGGGAAAATAAACAAGGCTGGCAGAACAGCATTCGTCATAACCTGTCGCTGAACGAGTGTTTCGTCAAGATTCCCCGGGATGACAAGAAACCCGGCAAAGGCAGTTACTGGACACTGGATCCCGACAGTTACAACATGTTCGACAACGGCAGTTACCTACGACGACGTCGACGCTTCAAGAAGAACGGCATGGGGAAGGATAAGGACAACCAAGACAAGAATGGACGTGAGTCAGATAAGGACAAAATGAAAGATGGCGATTCGGAGGACAACAATGGAGATCTCCATAATTCCAGCAACTCGGACGCTTCGGACGTTCCGGAGAAGATTGTGGAAGTTAAGGAGCCGATCCCCGTGAAATGTCCGTCTCCTCCAGTGCTAAGTGCTAAACTAGAACCTATGGACTCGCCCAAGAGCGACTGTTTGTCGGTAAGAACGGCCACTACTAACTCTTTACCCATTCCACCGGACCCCGCGATGACCCTTGACTCAACTACCTCTAGTTTCTCTGTCGAGAATCTAATGACGACGTCCCACACGACGCCCAACTGCGACAATCTCGGGGTCGCCAGCAACTTCGCTACCAGCCGACCACCCCCTCTTGTCTCCCCCCAAGTACTACCGTACACCCGGTCATCTGACCTGTACCGAAACACGGCCCCGTGTACACAGAACGCGGCGTCATCACCTTATAACTACCACTGCAATGCCCAGCCAGTGTTTCCAAACCACAGCGCTGGGGCCACGGGACAACATATGTCTATTGCCCCCACCCCATCGCCAGGGGAGGAGGTGGCGGGGAGTCACTCCCCTCACACCACCCTACCCCAGACAAACGGACTAAACCCAAGTGTGTTTTCTGTGTCTCAAGCGGGAACGTACAATCGCCCTAGTAGCTGGTATATGGCACCCCCGCCCTCGGAAATCAACCACGGAACGGACTTTTCCAGTTCGCCATTTGCCAATGTTCGGGACATGTTTGATTCTCATAGACTTTTGACAGCCCAGGCAGCAGGGCAGTCCCAATCCCCATCAAGCTGTCAACTTGCAGCGTTTCGGGCTCCATACAAAACAAGTAGTCCGTATGCCTACGACTGTTAATACAATCTCGGCTATTATTCCAACCAAAGACTCAGACTTATCCCCAGGTTGAAGGGATCTGGCATTTTCACACAGGACTTTTAGGTTCTCACAAAAAAGTGACAGTTGTTTTCACTGAAATCTGTTATAAATATTCTAGGATTTCAAGCAAAAATTGCAAAGATTTTTTTCCTAAACAGATGTGCTCATACGGATCTGCAATTGTGACGAAAAACTTTTAAAACATTCTCGTGGACTTTCTGTCACATGTTGTGGGCATGGCACTAATTAGCCTACCACAGGTCCACACTCAATTTGTAAATTATTCGTTAGGATGGATCGGCTGTCCTATTAAGGTAGGAACACTTTTGTTGAATCAGTCAGTGCTTTTTTAACGTTGTGTAAACGTTTCCATGTTTTATGTCAAACAATGTTATTGTGGAAAACAATATGGGCTATTTCAGCTAACTGTACAATGTCATGAATGAATATAAATATTCGGCTGTCTAGCCTCTAGAGAAACTATGCTTCTGCTTTTTATTTACTTATATATGACGAATATCCAAACGGATTTATTGAATCTAAATCTGGATATTTGTTTTTACGGTCAGATCCCGTGAAAGTCACTATGTGCGCTTGGATTGAGTGACCACTAACACGGCAACACGGATACGTTAAGGAGATTATTCGCTACTCAGTGAAATCCAAATGCAAACATGCTCAACGAATTTTGACAGGTTTAATTAGATAGGAAAACATGCTGAAGATTTCCCTGTCTTGGGGCGTTGGTATTTCTCATTCTTCAGCTCATTCATTCCGTCTTGGAATCAAAAGACGTATTAAGTAATTTCATTACATAGTTACAGTTTCAAAATAATTGTAATAAATTCACGGCTATGTAAATTGACAATTCATTCTATACTTGAGAATTGATAATATAATCTTTCGTTATGGAGATATCAATTCATGAAAAAATAGCTAGAGGTGTTTTTTCCATTAATATAGCTATTTTCATCTGTTGTTTAGGTATTGTATATTTTAAAAAGATATTCACAAGACATGTTTGCATTTTTGAAAGCGTTGTGCTTGAGTGCGCTACAGTGGTTTTCATCCGACGAGATGTGTTTTGTTGATCACCACACACACACACACACACACACACACACACACACACACACACACACACACACACACACACACACATACAATGTGTAAACACAAAATGTAAGCACTCTCAAAGCCTATTCGCAATTTATACAAACACAAGCCATGCCACCCGATTATGGGAAGAAGAATGTGGATTCGATACTGTGTCTGTTTTTATAAACACACGTCGCTTTTCACACAAAATTTAACTAGAAACCTACATAAATAACAAATCAGAAATGAACACCACCAAACCAATTACATGATTTTATAATGAACGGCCAAACATTGCTAATCCAACACACACTTTCACACAAATAATCGTTCAAAAAAATAAAGACACTCTGAAATTAACAAGGACACAGAACAAGCTGAAACGTTCCTGTAATTCGTGGACTGAGCTGCAGAGACCAGATTCTGTGTATGTGACTAGTGATTACAAATGTCGGCACATTCGACAGTGCAGATAACTTAATTACCATGGAATTGCGACATGCCTCGTGAGCGGGGCATGTTCTTAAAGACACTTTTGATTTCCTCCGCTCTCTCCCCCAATGCCGAGTCTCGCAGGGGGGATCTTTCTCTTCTCATTTGTCGGCGTTAATCATTTTGATGAAATGACACAAACTAAAGCCTCTGCTTGTTTCATTATTGTCACAGAGGGATGTCATGAGCTTCGTACAAGCGCTAATTATTCTGCACGTCTTCTTTACGTGATTATAAAACACATTCATTTTGTTAATTTCAAAACAATGACTTAATGTCATTCAAATCAGTGGATATTGGCTAGTTAATGGAATAAATGATTGAAAATATCTACATTTTTTTTTTAAAATCTATCATCTCGTTCCATGTGTGTCATGACACAAATCATTTTCGTCTGAAAATTATGAAGTATGAATTGAAAGTAAGAACTTCTTGCGATGGAAATATGAATTGAAATTATCAAATATTAGTGACAATAAAACGGGTATGAAGAAATTAGAACAAACTTGTGTTCGGCATATTTGTGTACATAATCTCTTTTAACATTTGTACAGAGATTGTGCAAATACTGACTCGATGCATTTGCATATTGAAACAAAAATCGAAGATTAAATTACCTCGTTCTAAAATTAAGTGTGTCATCTGCAAATAATTACATTATAAGTCCTCCGATAAGGGAAGAAGTAAATTTTCCAGCGATTTTCTGACTTGATCGATTAAGGAAGTATTTCCAGTGACAATGAGCCCAGTGGAGGCCGGATATTTTTCCAATCGACAATCTTATTCAACTAATTTCTCCTGGGCCTTAAATACGAAGACTTGGATAAATTGGTGCAGTTAAAATAAAAGCCAATTTCTTTGGTTTCAGATGCAAAATTGTGTTGATTTAAAACGACGAGAAAGCGAGCGAGGGATGGAAGGGGGAAATATGCGTTTGAAATTTCTTCTTAGTTTTGTCCCCCCTTCCCCCCTGCGTCCCCGGCCACCTGGGGCGCTTTCCCTGCGTCAGTTTAGGGGGGTTGTTGAAAGATCTCTTCTTTCTCGGGCCTCAATCTGAATTCCTACGACCGGCCTCAGTTCTAACTTATATTTTGAAGCTGGAAAAGTCGTTAAGGCCTCAAGTAAGCGGCGTGCAGGTGATCGGCAAGCTCCAATGCTGGCTTCAGCAAAAACCTCAACAAGAACAAAACCGGGTTTGTTGTAGTTCATCAACATCGTCCATGTGCAATGCATTTCACCGAAATTAAACACTAATATGCGTATCAATAGGGACGAAAAACCTGTGTAGATTATCGCTGTGATTGACTGTTGAGAGAGATACACAAATCAAGTTGTGCTTTATCAAACTGTGTCGTTCTACAGCATAAAGAGAATAGTTTTTTCCGTTAAAACTTTTCCCAGCATTTTATCGTGAACAGAGTGGTTACTACAGACGGGGAGCGTTCTTATCATTCCCCCATCTGAATAATAGGTCGTATTTCAGCCCTGTCAAAAGCGATGAATTTCAAAGAACTCCTCGCCGCACTTGTAGATAACTCAGTCATGTCAGTGTTGTCTAAAATATGCACCGAAGGAAGACATTTTAACGGTATTCGGCCAAAACACTAAATATGTTACCATCTTACAATGTACGTGTTCACAATTCTGGCTTCTCATCAAAATTTTTGTTTATTTTTATGCAATTTGTAAACTACAAATTTCTCGTTTTTAGGAGGCCGCATATGATCCCGGGTCCTTGGGTAGGAATGTCGCGGCTTGAAATCGGAGCTATCCGCTTCATCTCAATTTCTTATGGGCCGGTTTAGGCTGTCTGTCATCTTGCGCGTGCAATTCGACTGATAATTCAACAACGGCACAGGGACGATAAGGGTGATTTATTCCCAGTCTATATTGCCAGAAACATGGCTTCCTAAGCTGCATATCAGAGGCGACAGGCCTAGTTTTATACATTCTGAATCGATCGAGATGATAATGTCCTAAAAAGCTCTCACTCTACGCGTAAGTTGTGAGTATATGTTCATATTGTCAAAACATGTGGCATACTGGAGGTTTCCGTCTTGGTTCGCGTACAGCACGTACACAGCAGCACAGCAATATAACGCACACGTTTAAAGCTTGGCTTGCATGTGATGTAATTAGCTTGAAAATATTGCCCGCTTTGTGCCGCTTGTAAACATGTATTTAATGAATTAAGGAAGCTGTAGGGCTCGCGGGACAATCTACATCGAAATTCTAACGCGGGGCTCAATTTCATTTCCTATTTCATTTGAAATCCCCACAACACGCTTCAAATTCATGTTTCAGAAATTACACCGATGGAATAATTTTTTTCAGAGTGATCACCAGCAATAAAAAAATATTTAAAAGATACATCATAACAGATAAAGAAGGATATTTTTTAAATGATCGTATATTGCAAAATGTTCAGAAAATATTAATATCACTAAACTGTTATATTTTTATTAATAATACTTGTAGCAATAAATATGTTACGGTGATCGAGGAGAAATATTATTGATAACTCAAATGCACTCTGAATAACGTATTATGAAGGGTATTGTTTAACCCAGGCACATCCATCGGGAATTGTATTTCGTAAATTCATTTCTCCAGTTTGGCTATGAAATCCACAAGGAAGTACAACGGGTTACCTTCAGTCTGGAAAAGGTTCAAATTCATAGTCTAGTTCAAAATACGGATTTTCATTTCCTGAACCGGAACACGGCATTTAAAATAAAATTCTATTAGTTTCCGAATTCCTTTTTTTTATCCTCAACCCAACCTTTATAATACTGCTATATTGAACACTAACGTCGTATGTACGAGGCGTTATTACATTTCCACGCGGACATCATAAACCCGTCGCACTTACATCATGTACATGTATATATTTACAAATTATAAGGAAATATTTATATAAACACTGTGTCATTCATGTGAACATGTTCAGATAATTACGACACGAATGCTTGCAGAAAACATAACAAAATGTTATACCTTGTTCTGCTGCAAATCTTGGATTATGAAATCAGCATTTAGAAAAGATTATCAATGACGCCGAATGTGTATATGCACTATTATAACGGTATGCATTATTTAGAAGTGCTTTGAAAGAAGTTGCTTAAATAAACTTGTAAACACTTTCGACAAAAAGTTCAAAGTGATATTTTCCTTTCGGATAAGCTTTGTAACATAACGGATAATCATTAATTCATAAAATGTTTTTATGCGGTTGTATACAGTTTTCTATTGGAGTAAGGCTTGATTGTGCGCTGGGCTTAAAAGGGAATTCCTAAATGATGCACCGGCTGAATCCCCGAAGCATCAGTGTCTCAGGCAAATGAATTCTGTCATATCTGAGTGGGAATTTTTAGACGAAAATATTTCTCATTTTATTTGAAGTTACATATGCACAGACGCTAAAGTATGCGTACTACTAAATAATCAAATAATATTCGTATAGAAAAAACACATTCCAAATTTACGATTTCTGGCTATTTTATGAATAACTGATACAGGGTATGTTGAATAAGTTACACATTCAACCAGAATTAATATAAAAATCTAACATTTTATACGCATAGCTTCATACCATGCATTGCTTATTCCGATAATAAATAAAACACTAACATGCTTACAGCATCCCTGTCCTGTCAGATACTGCAACTGTGCTGCGTATTTGGTCGTTCAAACGCTGCCTATATTTTCCATTTAAACCGGAGTCCTCTTAATTAGGAAACTTGATAATATATAGATTTCTGATAATTGCGATGTTTCCTTGTCTTGGATCGGTAAATATTGTATAATATTTTGAAATATTGAAAATCTGAAAAATATTATTTGGTCTGGCGTTTTCATAAAGCGCCTTAATGAAGAATCAAGGAAGTGAT